AGGAACTCTCATTTTATGGGTTAGGGCTCGAGATGTTCCTCCCTTTAAACGTCCGCTACTCCACGATTTATCTAATACAATAAAAAAATATCACTATATATTATTAATAAAGCAATTATTTGTTATTTTTAATTCGTGCGTTGCATTTCATATGTAATAGTGTAACGCAAATACTGATTTATGGTTGGTTTTAAGTCATGTGAAATGAACGGTAAAAGAAATAATCTCAGATTTTTAATTACGTGTCTCAATACACTTATCTCGCGATTATGCCAGAAATTAAAACGCACAAATACTTTGATTGTGATCCTTTCAACTGGAATATTTTGGGTTTTTTGAATGCGTGTAATGTAGAACCATTTGACATCAAGATAGATGTTTACATAAAATCACTTGAAAACATTGATAACCAAGAGCGAGGCACCCGAAAGGAAAGAGCAAGAGAACTTCTTGAAAGGTATAGAAAGGCAAGTACCATTTCTTTTTTATTAGAAGCGAATTGTAAGTGACATGACGTGGGCTTTCTCGGTTAACGTCAAAAGGTTTCTCGCTGAGTCACAAAACCGGTGCTAGACACGTAGGGCTTTTTCGGTTCCTCGTGTACAAGGTTTCTCGCTGATCTAGCATTGGTCCCATCGGGGCACATGGGGCTTTCTCGGTTCCCAGTGTTTAAGGTTTCTCGCTGACCGGTGGGGTATATAAAAATGTAAAAATATAAACATCATTGCTAATTTACCCAATCTTTCACTTTAAGGGAGTGGACCGCAAAATTGCTAAAAACTGGGAGAACGCAAATATACACAGCCCGATGAAGATGATGATTTTGAAAAAGATGATGAGGATGAAAAAGAAAAAGATAAAGAGATGAGTGAATCATGTATGTTAGAAGTTGAAGATGCATTCCGAGGAATGAAAAAAGAAAAGAAATGGTATTTGAAATCTGGAAAATGTGTCGAGGATGAGTTGTATGCCTTTGGGAAACAATGCAAATTTGAACAGTATGCGAAAATATATTCGTTGTTATGAAATTTTTTGTTTTCCGATTTTTGACAATGTGATTTATTTTGTCAATATTTTCTTCCAGCTTGGCGCATTCTTTTATTATCGACCCTGATGATGAATCATACATTCAAAATAATGTATTTACCTCCGAAGACCTTAAAGAAATTCGGGATACGAGTTCAAAAGATCTTCCTGAGACACCAACGGACCTTTTAAAATATATAAGCTTTTTCCGAAGGAAAACAACGGAAGAATTGCGGATAGCACTTGATACAAGACAAGACTGGGAGGGTAAAAATTTTAATAAAACGAGACATTTTAATTTTGATTGGGTAAAAAATTCTGTTTATAATTTGGTGCTAGAATTTGAATCTAATATGCTACAGCAAAGTCATTTGGAAGCGTGGTATAATATTCATGTTTGGGCATTCATTGATAAATCGTTTAATGAATTGGAAGGAGTGGATATCGTCCGAGGTGAATCATGTAGTATTGCTTCATCAAAGCGCAAAAATAATAGAAGGATAATCCAAGGAATTGTAAAAACGACGAGAAAATCTATTGGAAGGAGGGGCGATCTTATTGTAAGGAAAGGGCCTTACGAATATGGAGCTTCCGAGTTGGGAAAAGACTATGAGGGGGACAATGGATCAAAATTACTAAAAGAAAGAGGACTAAAAAGTCCGAAGATGCTCAAAGACATGATAGTTGACCTGGGTAATTTTGTCGAATGGAAAACTGACAAGTTGCGCCAATTTGAGCTTGTTAGTTTCATCCACGCGGGTAGGTAATATTTTTAACTGGTTAAGACTTGATAAATTTGCCACGAAGTATTAACTATGTTATTATGCAGGTCTTTTCATGATTTTGTTACGTATGGATGTTCCTGCCGGATATATTTGCAGGGTTACAAGGTCGGATACCTTACAAGTACCAAACAATGTCAGTCAATTTGAAAAAGCTCTTAAATGTTTGGTTTTAACATGGAAGGCTAAGGTTAGTATTGATATTTTTGTCATTACATTAACGGTAGAAAATTATTTAATATTTGACCATTTTCAAAATCTTAGACGATCATATGTAAAACAATTAATGTTGTTGAAGAAATGTGTGATGATGACGTATTGGAGGATTTACAAGGAGCTGGTACCCGTAAGCACAGGGATTTGACCATTCTTCCTAACTGTGTTATGACACCACAGAAAAAGCGAACAGCAAATATGATAAACACTTAATACACTTAATGAATTTACAATATTTCGTAATCTCATAGTAATAAATATTATTTCGAATATAGATGGTGTGGTTTATGAAAAAAAATCACGTTATCAACTTTCACGTGTATATTGAGTGTGGCAAAAATAATATGTAAAAAGTCACATGTACATCAGGTAAAAAAAATAATATATTACATGGTTCTAATTATAGGATTACAATTGAATTATACACATTATAAATTTATTGATTATAAAAGATCCAAGCTTTGAGATTTCGTTTTATAAACTCTTGAATTTTTTCTATTCTCTGAGGGATGACAATTTCAGGTTTTTCATCATACCATACCTCAATAAGAAAAATCCCATTATCTTGACATATGCATCTTTTTAACCGATCACGATTTACAACATCCTCAAGTTTTTTGACATCTTTATACCAGCTAGTGTTATGGAGCCGATGCTGAGCCCCCTGTACCTCCAATGCAATTTGGTATTTCTGAAAGAAGGCATCAAGTTCTAACCCATTCAGAAAAGAAGGACGGTATTCAATTATTGGCTCCTCATTAAGAATTTCTTTAGCTATCTGAATGCATTTAGTCTGAAATTTACGATTTTTCTTAGATAACAGATTCTGTTCCAATTTCGTAATTCTAACTTTAAGTTCAGCTTGTTCAACAGCAGTATCTATCCAATATTTTTCAAGTTTAGAAATTCTTTCACTCAATGAATCAATTCTAGAATGTGTATCGGCCATAGTTTTATACAGAATATGAATATATTCAAAATAAAAAAAACACACGTGCACGTTCCAGAAAAATTATTTTACAAAGCAACGCTACTTCGTAGAACAGGAAAATCCTGCAAGCTGATCACAAAATTCTTGATCGTATATCGTATCATATGGTAAATTCGATTGATGTACTAATTAGCATACATTACACAAAAAATAACACATGATACGTTGTACGTTAATCGAAAATCTTTATTAATAAAAAATATATATATACGATAAATATACAGGATAAAAATATATGATAAAAATACAGGAATCAGGAATAAAATTAAGTACGTAATGGTGAAGTAACAGTGGGACTTTGTTGTGCAT